AAGTGTGCTGTGCCTGAGTGTTTACATGGTCCGTTTTCTGCGTTGGAGTACATCATTAGTTTATTACTGATCTGTCTCCTCAATTGCGTCATTTGTTCCAGTCAGTTCAATTTTGCACTTCACGTTCTGTGAACAAGGCACGTTTATATAGAAATCACTGAGAGCCCAGTAATAAAGGGAATGGTTCAAAAAGAAGTAAATATTAACCCCGGGCCCTAAGACCCCTAAGACTTCACTGATACCTTATAATTGGGATCAGTATAGTATATCTATTTTACATATAAAGAGAGAGTATGCGTGTACATGTATTGTAGAGTAAATACAATTTCTGGTCTCTTGAATTTATCCTCATTTTAATTTTAATCTTTCAAGCTTTAAATTATACGTTTTGATTTCTAAAAGGCAAAATAGTCTAAATTTATTAGATTATAAAGATAAATATTTTAGATGAAAAGAAACTTGAGAGAGCAAAACCTATTATTTGAAACTTGAAGGACTAAAACTAAAATAAAAATAACTTTAAATGATTAAAAATTGTATTAACCCTATACCGTAAAGTTTTGTTTCCAAGGCTCATCTTACTAAAAGGTTTACATCATTGATGAAAAAGGACGCCCACGTTATTGGGACAAAAACAATTAAACATTTAGATCTTGTTTGTTAGTATTGAAAATGAGAGCTAAAAATTAGGATTAGATTGACAATATGATAAAAGAATATTTAGTATGAATGATTTTTATTAGACAATCCTATATAAATAAGATTGGAAAATACCATATCTCCTTGTGATATTTTCTAATCTCACGTGTATGAAACACTCATCAAAAGTTTTCTCTTGGTCATTGGTTGCGCGCTTTTAACTGGCGAATCCTTATGAATTATTTAAAGAGTGAATTGAATTGCAAGTATGTACGATAATTAAGCTTAAGATCACATGATAAAGGACACTTGGCATTTACAACTAGACGCTTCACCGTACGTCTTACCCATTGGCAGAGGCCGCCAATCAGTGCCACCATGTGTTTTTCCTCAAGACCCATGCGTTTTGTTATTCTCTCCAGAGAGATTCTCAGGTGCTCCAGGAGCACCAGCTCATCTATAGACTTATAGTCTGTCCAACAAGAATACTCTAACTAGATAATTTTAATCTCACATGTCACTCTATTCATTTCTATTAATTTGCTGTTTTAAAAAATAAAAATGTCAGGGTTTAATGATTTCCTTTACTACTCTCTTCTCTTTTTCCGATAGCTTCCTTATCTCTTAGTCTCAAACTCTCCCTCTCTCCCTACTTCTTAGATCCGGACAGCGGTGGCGTCCTCCACCAGTGCTGGCAAAAATCCTTCATTAGCGACTGTGGTGATTCTAGTCTTGAACCCAGAACACAATAGGTTGTAGATCCAGTTCCACTGTGCATTTTTTCCCCCTCCACTTTGCAGATCTGAATCAACAAAGCTTCTTCTCCCTCTTCTTGCTTTACTCTTAGAAAGAAAAAGCATTCCCCTTAAACTTTCTCTCTCTTAAATCACCATTTTCAAGCTCCTTTCTCTAGCTACTTACTCTATCTCTAGCTATATGTATTAGTATCTATACGTTGTGGATTTGAGATCTGGTGTTGGGATCTTTTGAAGTCGGAGCATTTGGATGCGAGTGTGAGAATGGTGACGGTGTTAGTAAGATCGGCTATGGCGGATATTTCTGACGACGAGGGATGGGTGGCGCCGGATGAGGCGGAGGCAAAGGCTGTGGTTCTGGAAAGAAGGTCGTCAATGAAGGGAGAGGGTGAGGAAGAGAAGAGTTGAAAAAGAGCACAGGGAGGGGCAGCCTGAGGAATTTATCAAAGCAAGACATTTTTAATTTTTAAAACAATAAAAAGTAGCTGGCTGACATGTGAAATTAAAAATATCTGAGTTGAAGCCTTCTTATTAGATAGAAGACAGATAAACTGGCGCTGCACCTAAGAATTTCTCCTCTTTCCAGTACGGATTCATCAGAAACCATATATATGTGCCCAGTAATATCAATTTTTTTTTTGGCCTTGAACAGAAATATCAATCGATCACTCACAAATCAAAAGCGCATCTGCCATAGCCACATGTATGGAGCACGACCTACCTAAACTAACGATAGAATTACTCCTGGGCAGAGAAAGCCACATGTCATAATAATAATTCATCACACCCATGAAATATCAGCCGACGATATTATCATACAGTCATAGTCAAGGCGAAATCACCTAGCTTGTTATCCCGAAGTAGCCGGTCTTCTTCTCGATACTATGCAGAATCCTAAATAACCCCCCGGAGGGGGGGGGGGATTCATCGAACGGCGCGCCGTGCACGAAATCAACTAAAAATGTGGTAAAACAACTTACCTCTCTGCCGGCGATCAATTGTTTGGCCTCCGGTGTTCTTAACCGCAGCAACTCCAGCAAGCTAAAATACAAAATCAGCCATGCACGCCACGCAGACCTTCACCAATTTCTTTCCTGGGAAAGCTTGTTTCTTGTCATTTTAACAGTAATATTAGGAGAAGTTTAGAGGGTTAAAATCACCTGGAATAGGTCCGCATATGTGACAGTAGAGCTCCCATTATTCATCTTCACTTGTTCTGTTCTCAGAAGAAAAATCAACAAATAAAAAACGTAAGGCTCCACGACATCTGTAAAAATAAACCCAAGAAGAAAACTCACCCCAAATTAGGTCCATGACTGTGCTCAAACCCTTATTTGAGGGATGATTCAATTCCTTCGAATTTCTTATTGAGCCATCGGGACCTCTTTTGTATCAAATAATAGTCAGCACCAACATCAAGACCGAAAATTCCAGCGTCATGCAATCTGCAAATTAAATACAGATAGAATCACCGTACAGACTTATAAACGCATCACGCAGATACTTAAACAGGCAGGAATATGTATCATGAGTTGGAAATTATGCCAAAGGAAGCATGAGAGGAGCGTAATGCTTGTTATGGGAGATGATTTTGTCAAGTTGTTCACGAGCCCTTTTGATTTGCGTGAGATATTCATCATCAGCCTGGGGGGCGCCATCAGTGATGAGTGCAGCTGGGGATATATATATATATATATATATATCTGGCAGAGGAGAGGGATTTTGAATTTGTTACTGCGTGGAAAATTTAGAAGGCGGCCCGGAGTAGTATTTATAATCATCTGCTGCGGAATTCTGATGAGTATGACTCTGCCTGCTGCCATGAAGCAAATCAAGAAAAGCATTTATTCCATCTTGTACTTTGCACCAAAGCTTTTTTTTAGTGGAAAAAAAGTTTAGACGAATTGAGTCTCAGAAACTCACTAGAACCAGAATATGTTTTCAGGTTCAAAAAGTGTTTATAAAAGTACTTACAAATTGCCCATCAACAAAGTCCTCGTATTGGCAACGAGACCAAAATGAAGCTTTTGGTCCCAAAAAAAACCAAAACGAAGGAAATTAAAGCATAATATATTTTAGTTATGTTTCAATTTATATATTTATGCTTTCCCTTTACGTAAAGAACTGAAACACTTGGTGCAGGAAGTATGTCGTTTGTCATGTTTCCTCTGAGAAGGCGAATAATATACAGTACCGATATGTACATTACTTGCATAGGTCATTACATATATACTCTTGATTATTTCATTTCTTTCTTTGCTGTTCAAGTTGGCCTCTGCAGCCAAAGGGATGGCGGAGCATGTGGTGAGAAAGGAAGAGGGAAGCATTTACGCCAAAGGAAGCATGATAGGAGCACAGTTCTGGCTGCAGATGAGGGAGCGAAGGTCGCGACACGCCTTTTCTATTTGGTTGGCATAATCGAGGAGCCGCGATTTTGAAAGCAACGCGAGAGGAAGGCAATGGAAGAACCAGTTTCGTTTCGGTATTCATCACTTAAATAAAAAAAACTATTTTTTTAAAAAATAACAGTTAAGAAATTATCTGTATTTTGTATTCTATACATATTAAAATAATTATTTTAAACAAATAAAAAAAAATAAAATCTGAATTGTCCAAATGAGATATCAACAATTAAAACCTGATGAGTTTAAGGTGCTCATGAAAACAATGAACACCGAAATTAGTTTGGGCATTATAAGAAGTGTGGTCTGTTATGGCAAACTTATTTCGGTTCCGTACTATAATTAAGAGACACAGATGAAGATTTCGCCTGATGCCCCGGCCCCAGAAGAATGTTATGTTCACCGACAAAACCAAATTGACGAGCAAGGGGTGATATATGGGGAAATTTTATGAAACTAGCTAGCTAGAAAGAGCGAATATTAATTGATCAACATTCTTAGACAATCCTCGAACTGATGTGAGTCATAATTTTACTTGAAATTATTTGTTTCAGAAATACAGTACATATAATCAATTTCTCAACAAATACAGGCTAGCTAGGGTTATATACACTGTTAATTTGGAAATTTGTTAGAAGCCTTCTTTTATGACTTTCCGAGGCAATGCTAGCAAGTCTCACATTACTCAATCAAAATTTTGATCAATGAGTTTATCTGTTCCTGCCCGTTCAATTATTTATATATACCTCATCACCTTGCGACAAAGGCACGTATGTATCCAAAAATCATTGATTTGGGGGATAATGAATGTGCGCTTACGAATCCAGGAAAGAGCTCTCAGAGATCTTTTCATTTGAATCGAAGCAGTCACTCACTTTATGTGTAAACAAAATAAGTGCCTTAGTCTTATTTAATTTTGCCGCTACAAGAGCCCAGTAATAAAGGGAATAGCTCAAAAAGAAGCAATATATATATATATATATATATATATTCCCCACAGCGAGAGAGAGAGAGAGTATACAGAATGTGCATATATATTATAAAATTTTATTTCAAAGACTCATCTTATTAAAGAAAAGGATTTACATTATTATTGGTGAACAAGGACGCCCAAATATTTGGGAAGGGGGAACAAGTTATACATCTATATATATATATAGGAGTGCGTGATGGGTTATATACATGTACTTATACATATATATATTCACTTGCTTCTTCTGCTGAGGAAGAAACCGATGATGATGGCGGTGGCGACAACAGCAATTCCGATGCCCTGCACCAACCTGGCACGATTAGTACCAGTTGGTGGAGACTTTTGATCAGTTTGTGAGCCTGCCTTCCCTGACGTTGCTGCTTTCACGCCTAGCTCCAGTACTTTCTCGTGCGCCTCAGCATAATACGTCAAGAATACTGCCTCAGACTGTACCAAAGTTTATTAATTTCAACCCAACTCACAATTAATACTTCGTTCGTTCGTTCATTACTATATTCAACACAACTCCTTGGCTTTGCCAAAACATCACTAATACATTACCTGTGCATACTTGGCTACCCACTTGCGGAATCCTTCACGCTTTAATAAAGGGTTATCCGGCTCCCTCTCCAGCAGACCCCTGTTAGGAGTTGCCTGGGATTACTATACCGCATGCTATATATATCTTGGTGATAATTAATCATTACCCAATCTTCCCAACATGGCTTACCTGAAATACGAATTGCCAAACTTGTAGCTGTCTTGTGTTTCTCTGTCAACAGTATTTCCCTCTTGGCGAGAAGCAGGAGGTTCCTCTTGGACTTTGCTTTTAAGTTGCCGATCCTGTTCAATTAAATTTTTCTCTTGATTAAGTTGCTGATCCTGTTCAATTAAATTTTTCTCTTGATTAAGTTGCTGATCCTGTTCAATTAGTTAAACAATGAATTTAGTACGAGTATGTACGATAATTAAGTGTAGTGGTATATATGATAAAGGAGATTTAACATGAACGCTTCATTTTGCGTCTTACCCATTGGCAGAGGCCGCCAATCAATGCCACCGCGTGTTTTTCTTCAAGACCCATGCGTTTTGTTATTTTCTCCAGTACTGATTCATCTGAAACCACATACATATGCCCAGCAGTGTTAATCAGTCACTTACAAAAGCTCACCTGCCACGGCGATATACATGTAGCATAACGAACTAATAATAGAATTACTCCTTGGCCAAGATTGCTATTTACAGAGAAAACTAGATATCATAATAATAATCTATGAAATATCAGTTGATGATATTATCATAAAGTCACAGTCAAGGTGAAATCACCTAGCTTATTAAGTGGCTTGCCGCCTTGTGCTGGATCCTGCGTAGAATCCTATAAAGGAGAAGAATATAGATTCATTGAGCCGCGCCGTGTATGAAATCAATTTAAAATATATGAAACAACAACTTGTAACGATGGACAATAGTATGTATCTGTAGTACCTCTCTGCCGGGAACAAATTCAATTTCTGGGCCGCCGGTGATCTCAACAGCAGCAACTCCGGCAAGCTAAAGTATAAAATCAACAGTGCACGCACACGTGACCAGCTTGTTTCTCATCATTGCAACAGTACGCATATGTCAACAAAATGGTGATATTAGGAGAAGTTTAGAGGATTAAAATCACCTGGTACAGGTCTGCATATGTGATTTTCGCATTACTCTTCTTCACATCTTCTGCTCTCAGAAGAAAACAAATCAAAACGCAAGGCTCTACGGCATCTGTAAAAATAAACCCAAGAAGAAAACTCACCGCAAAGGGCCAAGACTTCGGCCAAGCGCTTATTTGAGGGATGGTTCAACTCGTTGGGAGCTCTTATTGAACCATTGGGACCTCTTTTTATGAAATAATAGTCAATATTAATATAAGGACCGTAAATTCCAGCGTCATGCAACCTGCAAATCAAATATATATAGATAGAATCACCGTACAGAATTATATATATATAAACGCATGCATCACGCGAATATGTAAACCGCCAGGAATATGTATCGATCATAAGTTGGAAATTAAGTACGCCAAACGAAGCATGTAAGGAGCTAAATGCTTCTTTTCGGAGAGGCGTTCTTTAAGTTGTTCACGAGCCTTTTTGATTTGGTTGTGATATTCTTCATTAACCTTGGGGGGCGCCATCTGTGAGTACAGTTAGTGGGGGGATATATTTGTGGCAGAGGAGAGGGATTTTGAATTTGTTATTGAGCGGGGAATTTAGAATGTGGCAGAGTAGTATTTATAATCATTCGCTGCAGAATTCTGCGTATGGTTTTAGGTGCTTCCATGAAGCAAATCAAGAAAAGCATTTGTTCCATCTTCTCCTTGTTACCAACCAAAACGAAGGAAGGCATATTATACGTTTTATTTGTGTTTCAAGGTATCTATTCGTGTCTGAGGTTTTTTCATGAATACTTTTTCGCTTGTCATATAATTTAAGTAAATGAAAAATGATTTTGATGCCCCATATTTGTTAGGGGGCAAGGGCAAAGCATATTATGTTTTTCCTTTACGTAAAGATCTGAAGCGTTGTCGGGGGAAAAAAAAAAAAAAAAGGATCTGAAGCATGGTCCAGGGAGCATCCTCGTTTGTCATGCTTCCTCGTAGAAGGCGAATAATGGGTATCCATAAACATTACTTGCATGTATTGGCCATTACATAACGATTATTAAATGAGTTGAAAATTATGTTTTATATTGTTTAATTTATGTAAGTATATAAATTATGACCATATCTATAATTTTAAGACTTACTTAAGCTGGAAAAAAGAATGCATATAAGAACTATGAGAAAGGATCATCAATGTCGTCATTGACACAATGATGTCGCATCATCCTGCGTGGTCGTCATCAGCACAGTTGTTGCGCGACGCGACACACATAGGTGCTCATCAGGTGATAAGTATTAGGTGCTCATCATCTGATGAGCAATCTGGACAGTCCAGATCTAATCTGGAGGGTCCAGATTTAATATTATTAGATAATTATTTTAAAATATAAAAATTATATTTTTAAAAAATAATGGTTAAAAGATTATCTTTATTTTTTATTTTATATATATTGAAATAATTATTTTTAAAAATAAAAATAAATCTAGACTGTCCAGATCTGATGAGTAATGGGTGATGAGCACCCAATGTAAATCTAAGTCTTTACTTTGTCCTTAAAAAAAATAATTCTTAACTTGTTGTGTGTCAAAGTAAACTGATTCTTTAATCCGTAATCTTGTTTGTGACTAACAAACTATTTTATTTCTTTATCAAACACACATTCTATAGTCAGTAATTTGCGCAATCTCTTATTCTTTTGAGGTCATATATCTGACAGTCACAATAAGAGGTGGGATATGGCTCATTGGCCGGGCAGACATGCTGCCATTTCTATTTAAAAAGAGTTTAAATGCACGAAGACTTGTGGTCTCGCAAGGTCGGACTCGTAAACATATGAATCTGTTTCTATTTACAGCAGAGTTGCAGACATTTCCACTTGCATATTATTTAGTTCCAAGGAAACCTCCTTTTATTTAGTTTATTAAAAAAACATTATCTCTCGGTAATTCATACAGCTTCAGATATCTCACACACAAGCAGTCTCCAAAGTGCTCCTCATCCATTAGACTTCTTGTTTTGAGAGTTAAAAGACCTCAGAGCTGGTGTATTATTTTACAAATTCGGGGTATAGTATGCCTCGGCTGGCTTGTTGCATATTTATTTTATCATTTTGTCTGGAAAACAGTTGCAGTCTATTGTTACCGAGCGTCATTAAGGGCCAAGTTAGCGACCAAACTGGCAGGTTTACTTTTTATTACCAAGGCACAACTCAGAATGGGAGAACGACCAAACAGAAATTTTGGATGAAGGCCTCTTGCCTCTTGTGCTGGCTTATCAGCAACAAAAGCATTGTGATATGACATCATCAACTATTCAACTAGTAAATCTTACAAAACTGAGTGTGAGCAAACATCATACTATCCCCCCCCCCCCAAAAAACACAAAAAAATTTTTAAAAAAATTATTTCAAGCCACGCTGCTACTGGATGCAACAGCACACTTGCCCCGCAACCAAGTTATACGTTTATCCCTTTTAAGAGACAAGAAAATCTCCCTCGCGTTAGGTTTATTGAACAGATTTAGAGCGGCAAAATACAGTGGTCGTTCAACACCCTGCATCACATCCAATTCCTTTATACAGTCAGCCATGCTATATCTAGCATTATACTGCTCTATCGCAGCTTCTCTCATTTTTGAAGCGGCTGCCATCTCCAGTATGGCTCCCGCAATGACATCGTCGATTCCTTTACGTCCTCTTTTGCGGTTACATGTTGCAATAGGTGTAGAAGGTAGGATGGCGTCAGGATCATCATCATCTTCATCATCCTCGGATCCCGAAGAGGACTCCTCTCGCTGCGTGCTCATAGGCTCTGGACAAGGCCTAGAAGTACCATCACCCTCAGATGCGGCTACGGATTCATGCCTGCCATTGGTTGCTGGCTCAGAAAATATTGTACATAGGTCTTTGTAGATTGAGCAGCCGCTACCTTTTATTGTCTCCGCATCAGGATGTTCCTGCCGGCATGGTCAGGAATTATTTTCCGAGAAAACAAGGAAGGAGAAATACAATTTAGTGGAGAAGAAAATATCTCGAAAAATAGCCACAAAAACCGCAAACCTAACAGTAGAAAATTCCTAATTAAACAGCCCGCAGTCATATTAAAGTTGATCAATCTCTCTGGATGTTAAATAAAGGATGCCTTGAAAAAACCATGTGCAGAGGACCAAAGGGAAGCCATATAAACAAATCCATCCTATAAATTAAACAGGGTCAAAGAGATAGTAAGATCGATTTTTCTCTGGGCCTACAGAAAAAGACGATAGCATGATATGAAGAATTTACACTGGATAATGAGATTGTAATCTTTAATACAATGAGTGACAAGTTATTGCAGGATTAAACAACCTGTTGATGAAATAGCAGAAAATATAATACCAGATGTGCATAATTTGTAATGCATGATAAAAAAAATTGACATGAAAAACTAATGAGAGAACAGATGATAAAGATGGATTGGTAAAAGTAGATATAGTAATGATTCAGTTGGGGAAGGAAGCCATACATCTTGAACAGGCAACAAAAGATATGTTCTGGTTAAAACAAAACCGCTGAAATCTTGCCACAAAAGATATCAGTCTAAAGGGACATTGGAATGATCACGTAATGGAATCATGACTTGAACAAACGACTAACATGTGATGACGATAAAACAAAAGAGAAAGACACATACCTTGATGTATTCAGCCCAAACTTCCTCCTCGGCAATAATAGATCCTGTGGCTTCATCCCAATTAAAATCACTTCGTTCGAGAATGGACTTTACAGTTGTATACTGCTTCCTCAATACTGAATAACGATTTTTGAGTTGTTCCTTATCCCATTTCAGACCTGTCTTGCTGTAAAATTCATCACAAATATATTTCCATGCCTTCTTGTTAAAAGAGTTGCTCTGTTTATTCCCTTTATGTACTTGGTCAACCATCAGGTCTACAAGTATCTTAGTGAGCGATGTGGTCCACCTAGCCCTTGACTGCTGTTCCTGCTGCTGAGGTGGTAGTCTTCTTGATCTTGTAACTCGACCTGCCATCTACCATTTAACAGACAAAAAATGCCTGTTAAAGAGAGAGTTGTATGCATATAAGAGTTACCGATAGCTTCTAGATGACCGCAAATGACTGATTCAATTACTATTGCAAGAGGCCAGAACAAATAACTGTAAATGTAAACGAGAACACTCTGACGGATTAAGCCAGGGAGCATGAAGCCTACTGTCTACAGAACACGCACAAAACAAAAGAAGAACCCGAGCGGGCCATATGTTTGCCACCCAATTTAGTCGTCGCATTAATTTAAAAAAAAAAATTTAAGAAAAAGAAAGAGATGCAGTTGCCTCCCCCGTTTCCGTTCGTTAGCGCCGAAAAGGGGCACATTCGAGAAACAGAACGGTGCGGCGGCCGAATCAATACTCTGGTTGACGGAAAGGAAAAGGGAATCCAGACTCCAGACAAACGCCTAAAACACAAATAAGCAATAACCACAGCCACGGAGAGGAGATTGGACAAAGGGAAAGAGTCATGAGCAAAACCAAGCAGCAATGAATTACATTAAAAAAAAAAATCAATTTACCGGAAGAGCTGCCTTGGTCATAAACCTCGACGGGCAAAACCGCCAAAGCCACTTACTTTATTGGGAATTTCATAATCGCCGGCCTTTTATGTCTGATGAAGGAAATTAGGTGACGCTCGACGGGCGGAAAAACTGGATAAAAAGGGTGCAAGGCTGGAAGGAAGGGTGCTGTTACATAGAATGATCGATTATTATCATTATGTTAATGTTTATTATTTTAAAATAGGAAAAATCATTCAACTATTTATGGCTGGTCGGAACTCGGAACTTGTTCCTCCGGCTCAAATTTTTCGTCACTCCATGCTCTCTCAGTATTTGGACCAAAGGAAAATAAAAATAATTGGCCAAAAAAAGGAGAACAAAAATTAATAAAATAATTAGATTTATTTATAAATATTTTTTGTATGACAGAAAAACTTTAATATGATTTTTATTTGATATACATATGAATATTTTTGGCCAAAAATAAACATATGAATTAAGTATAAAACACAGGTAAAAAAATTAAGTATAAAAAAGTATAATATAAAAAAAACCAAAATCTCCTTAAGAAAAAGGAAACCCGCCGTTCATCGCATGCTATAACCACTTATCATTTATCAATAAAATCAAATAAGGAAGCAAACTCAGAAAAAGAACATGAAGATGGCCATCACCAACAACATTTATCAAAATCGTTTGTGATTTATCCAAACCATGAATCGCAGAAATCAAATCCCAGAGCATACCAGAACCACTTATCAGCGCTCGCAACGAATGAAGGAGGAACGACTTCTCCAACAGCCAGCACCTCGTCCATTGACTGTCCGATTGAAGCAAAGGTCCTTACCGGTGGGAGTGTTTTTTTTTTTTTGGGCCAATGTTAGCGGGTGTTGTTTAAAGGATGGGCTGCACTTAGTTATTGACTTTACCTTAAGAATAATATCACAATCTAAACTTTTATTTTTTTATTTTATATAATTAAAATTGTTTTTTTCTTGTCCCCAAGTCACTTTATTGTCGATGGCGAACAGATTTTTCTTTTGGTTTTTGTACAAGGGCAGCATAGTTCTCTCGCGACAAAAATTAATGTGATGAAAATCTCTATAAACTTTATAAGAATAATGTCACTGCGTGATCTAATATGAAAATTACATATTTTAGAGATATTTTTGCGCGTCGTCGTCATTACATTTAATTGAAGTTTAATAAATATTTTTATTTGATTATGTAAAAAGCCCACCTCTATTTATATTAGATTTGTCCGCTGTATAAGTTAAATCTTAACCCCTCGTCTAGGAAACAAGGATGCGTGATTATGCGTCCGTCTGCCTCAGCGGTCACAGGTGCAGAAACTCTTTATTTCAGCTTAGAAGTATATTTAGAAATTTAAGTCTGTTTGGTTGAACTTTTATTTCATCTTACTTGTGGGCCAGAAGTGAGATTCAAGGCGCGATTTGAATAAGCTGAGCTGGGCCGAGCAACGTTTTGAGCTCATGCACCGTGCTTATGATTGGAGAAACAACCCTAAAATAATACTCCTCCGGTCCTTAATATAAGACCCATTTAACTAATTTGATTAGATTAAAGAAGTTAGGTAAGTTAGTTAATTATAAAAAATGTGACATGTTTTTCCTAAAACACCATAATCATCTTTCTTAATACCCCTCCCTCTTCTACACTTGATTATGATTGAGGGAGTGTCTATAAGGGTAATTTAGAGAAAATTGATAAATATGAGAAATGGGTCTTATATTTAGGACCAAAACTAACTCACCAATTGGGTCTTATATTAAGGACAGGAGGAGTAATTAGAGTATCAGATATTCTTCTCTCCCTCTTATACCTCTATTCTCTAATTCCAAAGCCGGTTTCGTTGTCCCCGCCACACTCACACTCGTTCACTCTTATCCTTTTCTATTTACAAAATCCTTTTTATAGTATTTCTAATTTTTAAAAATATATTTCGTTCTTTAAATTTCTCTTTTTCCTATTATAATAATTTAAGTTCATTACATTATGTAAATTTATTTTTTAATCATTTTTATTTAATAAAAATATACTTTCTTTGATAATCTTATAAACTAAACTTAATTTAATTCATAGTATTATATAAATTATTTTTATTATCTAATAAAAATATATATTTTAATAATTTTACAAACTAAACTTACTTTTATTTAATCATAATTCAAACAACCGTTCACCCAATTTAATTTTTACAAACTAATTTTTATAAATCTAATCCAAACACAATTTACATCACCCAATTTAATTCTTATCTAATTTTATTTTTTTAAAGTTAAATTAATAATAAATTACTTTTTCTATCAATAATCAAATAGGCCCTATATATGCTTATGACAATCTGAATTGACATTGAGTAGTTTACAAAATATGATATAAATATGTAAAAAAAGTTTTAACTCGATTTGTATGAAATATGTTTATAAAGAATTTTTATCGCTGTCCGATAATTTTTGTTGCCTCCTGGTGCTTCTACTTCGTGTTGTTCTTTACTGCAGCTTTAGTAGTAGCAGTATTATATTGTATTATATTATTATTTTAATCACACTGGTATTTATTCTTTTCATGCAGTATTTTGTCGTTATCAAGAAGGTTTGCCCACCCTGTGATAGAAAATCAATTAAACAAAAGTTAAAAATAAAAGGGGGAAAAAAGGAAGCTAAGCGAATCCGTGAGTAGGGTGAGGACAAGGTCCTATCATTGAGGGGAGCCGAATTGGCTTGCGACGAAGTCGTCATATAAAATTGTCAAAAAAAGGAAATTTTACAAGTTTAGAGAATCATAAATAAAATAACAATAGTAACACCACCTGAGGGGGGGATTGTTGGTGAAGATTGGTTCGCTCAACGAACGCTTCAACGGCAAAATTTCCCGGCCAAAGGGGTTTGTTTCTTTCTCTTTCATCTGCATCTGCTTACCGCAATGAATAATTCTGTCTTTCTCCATAAGCATTAGGGTTTCCCAATTTCTTGAAAATTTTCTTTCTTTTCGTTGCAAGTTCCTATCTTATCGTTATTCTTCACTCTGGGCATTTCGCAGCTAGGGTTCGAAAACATTTGGGCATTCTTTTGTTTTTCTTTTCCTTTATTTATGGAAGGTTGTACTTTTTCTGCATTTGCGTTTTGCTCCATACAGATCTGCAATTGAAGTAGAAGCATCAGAAGGAGAAATCAGAGGGGCGTGTGATCGTGTCCTCAGGCGAAGATCTGAGGCTTTCAATATTCAACAAAGATGAGCGCTTCTAGGTTCATAAAGTGCGTCACTGTTGGGGATGGAGCTGTGGGCAAGACATGTTTGCTAATATCCTATACCAGCAATACCTTTCCCACTGTGAGCTCTTGTTATTTTTTCCTTTTTTTGAGCCTGATACTAAAATTTTGGTTTTTGAGGCATTACAACGAGAATGTTAAATTATACGAAATGGGAAGAAACTCGAGCGGTGAAGAAAAGTGTTCTTTCTTTCAAGGACGGTAGTTCGGGATTGGCAACTTGGATTAAATGGTTTGTGGGGTTGCTCCTGTTGTTTTGGAAAGTTAGTTTGGCAGTAATAATGAAACCATGAACCAACGCCTCCCCCCCCCCCCCCCCAAAAAAAACAAAAACAAAAACAAAACAAGCCAAAGAAGCTTGGGGTGGTGATGCGAAGTATGTTTATTCTGCGACTTACCATTGGCTTCTTAAACCCAACATGATTAGCACTTTGAATTTATTTAATAAATTAATTGATGGTTATTAAACCCTGTTTTGACCTGCATTTAGGGTCGTAATCATGATGTTTGATTATGCCTTTACGCATGTATAAAGAACACTACATAAAGGAGTTGCGTTTGTGTCAGAGTTAGTGTCACGTCCTGTATTTGTATCAATGTCCGTGCATCTTAGGTTTTAACAAATTATCCGTGCTGTTTGTATTAGAAAGGAATGAGAATACAGGAAATGGTGGTTTGATTACCTATTTAAAGTAGAAGCATATTTTGATGACACTAACGGATAAACTGCAAATTAAGTGTTGATCTCATATTTGTATGCTAACTGGAAAAAGGAGACCATTGTCGTTTTACTTTTTTCACATGTGCTTACAAACAGGATTATGTGCCAACTGTCTTCGACAATTTCAGTGCAAATGTGGTTGTCAATGGAAGCACTGTTAATTTGGGCTTGTGGGACACTGCTGGTAATGCTGCATGGTTATTCTTTTATTGCTTCAATTTTACATTGCTTCTTCTCTCTGGCTTTTTATTCTATTATTTTGTGGAACAGGACAAGAAGATTATAACAGATTAAGACCTTTGAGTTACCGTGGTGCTGATGTTTTCATACTGGCTTTCTCTCTCATAAGCAAAGCCAGTTACGAAAATGTTTCCAAAAAGGTACTATGCTCCTCGATATTTGGGAGTTGAAGCATCATCCGCTTTTTTCTTTTTCTTTTGTTTTTTTTTAAATCATTTGAACTCTTGTGCTTATCTCCTGGAACTTGAATGTCACTGGTTTCACTATGATCCGCAATGAACAATATACTGCATTCTGTCTTTTTATTAAAATTATCTACATTGTTAATCCGTTGGTTTCGTTTCCAGTGGATTCCAGAGTTGAAGCACTATGCACCCGGTGTCCCCATAGTTCTGGTCGGCACAAAGCTTGGTGAGTTTATATGAATAGCATGACTTTTTAGTTGCTTCCTTGCAGCTTATAAATTATTAATTTTAGCGGCTCTTTCTGTTGTAACTAAGTTATATGACGTCAAATTCCATTAGGTTTGGTTATTATGGTTGCATGCAATTTCTTATTTTGGATTAGGTAGCTTCTTGATTAATGTCTTGGAACTGTCCAATATCAACAACACGGATGATTTTTTATTTTTCTGTGATCATTTTTTCCTCAGTGATGAACTGCTGTTTTTGGTGCTTCTTTTAATGCCTTTCTATTGGGTTTTTTTCCCCTTCCCATTTATTCCTGAAATAGTGGATTTTGCAAATTTTTTGGATTTTGGTCCCTTCTCAGCATCAGCATTAAATAATTAGACAATGTTAATCTTCAGACATGTCAGTATGATATGTATTTTCCTTTTAATTTTTTTTTTTCTGTGAATAACTAGATTGAACACACTGGGGAGTCTAGCGCAATGTTGT